ACATTAAGCCTATTGGCTAGTTGATCGAGCAAGATGTTTCGGGACATTATTTGCGATGTGTATAATCTGAATATTTATTGAGATGATATTAATGAGATTTATATAGAGCTTTATTTAGATGTGTTGTATGTATAAAAAATTCATTAACGAGAGATTTGCATCTTTAAAAAATATGTACAATTCTATCATATTTTTTATTCAAATTTTATATTTATTTTACATTAAAATTTATTCGCAAGTTGTATTTAATAAGATTTCGAAGAAAATAAAGAATGTTTTTTTCGCCTAAAAATTTTTTCGCCTAAAAATTCTATAGAATACTCGTAAAAATGTTGATAAGAAAAGATAAATTGGAGACAATATTTATTAATAAATAGCATAATGCAGCATAATTGGTCATGAATATTGATTCATTTGGACAAAGCCCAGTGCTAACTGGAAATATTTGACGATCAATTTTGAGCCGTGGCCACGAGAGTAAAGCATCGCCAACCTTTTACCACAAAACGAGAAAGAGCGGAGAAGAAACAAAACAAATTTAATTGACCTAGATTCGCTTATCCTTTTTCCTCTTAAATTTTTTAGCATTTTTTTTTTCTCGTTTTAGTTTTGCTTGGACAGGCCCAATTTATTATGAAACCGAGTTGTATGTATGTATGTAGACACGAATGATATGAGAAAGAGACGGTGAGAGAAAATAAAGGACGGAGAGAAGGTAAAACGGAAAAAAAGATGAGAATAGAGAGAAGGGTGAGAGCGAGAGCGAGATGACGGATATATCGATCGATTTTTCAGCAAATAGTCACTCGGTACACCAACGTTGCTTGTTTGCCTTTACTATTTGCTCAACATTCTGTGAATTGAAAAGATTCGGTACAAATATATATTGTTAATTGCAAAGAGAGACGGATAAACTGAGAGAAAGATAGATAGATAGATAGATAGATAGATAGATAGAAAGAGAAACAGATAGATAGATGGATAGATAGATAGATAGATGGATAGATAGATAGATAGATAGATAGATAGATATATAGATAAATAGATAGATGGGTAGAGAGAGTGAGAGAGACAGAAAGAAAAGGAATGGTATTATTTTCTTTTCTTTGTTCATGTTTTGTTGTCACTCCCTTTTTTTCTTCATATATGTTCATAAAAGTCTTTAGTAACAAAGTGATTTAAATCATTAACAAAAGCCATTTTCCTTTAAAAAGGAAAAGACATAAAAGAATACGACTAATTTTTGTAAATATCGGTTTATGATTTTTTTCATATTTTTGCTTGTTATTATTTTTGTTATTATTTTTAAAAATTATTTATTGTCTTTTATAATAATTTTTATTTTCAATTCTTTTTTGATTATTCATAATCTTAAGACTCGTAATAATATAATAATATTAATGATTTTCTTTTATAAATATTATCTTTAGTCAAAATGATGTTTTATCAATTTATGCTTTTTATGCAGAACACTTCTATATTACAACAGATTTGAGTGAGTTGGCGTATAAGGACATATTAAATATTCAAGGAAAAAACAAAATTCTATTTATACCATTTTTATAAAGTCAATCCTTAACAAACATATATATGCCGATTTTTAACATTTTACAAAGCAAAATGAAATTGACTATAAAAATATAAAATGTTAATATTTACCTGTACAGAAGAATATATAATTCTACTTATCTCAATGCAAAATATTTAAAGGATAATATATTTATTTACGATAATCTTGTAAAATCTCGTACGTTAGAGTATAATATTAAATCTAGAATTACATTTAAAGTTTTTAATTTTTTTATTAACATTTTTATTCAGGTATATGAATGACAATGTGTATGTATATGACAATAAAAATTGAATAAAATTCACAATATCATTTTTATTAAACCATTTTATATCAAAACAATATTATAAATATTATAATTTATTATTAATGATACAGAGTAAGTTTATTTTTGTAATGAAATAAGATTTTAAAAATAACTAATTATAATTGACTTTTATGTTCAAATCATATATATCGTAATCTATATTTTACAATAAATATTTAAAGATCAAAAAACGGTATTTAATCAATTATTTAATCAATTTTTAATTAATTAATCGTTAATTCATCAAAACACTGGTACTAAAAATGTAATCCACTATATCACATGTATAAGACATATTTTTAATCATAATTCCAATGATAGCCATTTTGAATATTTCTTTTCAGACAAAACTATTTTAAACACATATGGAACAGCTTTCTCATTTGTTTATACAATGCATTTGCCATTCGAATATCATTTATAAAAAAAATTAGTTTTATTACATATTTGAAATCTGACATTTATATCATTCAAATGAGTCGATTATGTATTTAGCAATTTTCACATAATTTTAAAAATCGATTTTACAAATTTTATATTACTTTATGAAAATTTTCTCCATGAAGTATAAAAAAATGTAGCTCGTAGCCATTGATTAAAATTTCGAAATAATATTTTCAAATAAAATTTGGAATTTTTAATCAATTATATCGAATAAAATCACAAATTAATATTTTATTCTATCAATTAATATAATTTATTATTAATATCAATTTTTCTTATTAAATATAGTTTTTAAAAAGGTATATTTGAAATATCTGGAAGTGGAATTACTAAGAACTAACCAACCAAAAATAGATTTTAAATATAGTGTAATAATCTGATTAAAACATAAGAAAATTAAAATAAATAATTAGTAATAATATTTTTGTTATAATGGACAAACTTATTTGTACATATGAATGTTAAGTTTTCAATTTATTTGGAAGTGCATCAATAAAATTGTATTTTATAAGATAAAGTATTCGTTTTATCAAAGAAACTATCATATACGTATGATAGTTTATTTGAGGCACATTCATACGCAATTATTTATATATTTTTGTTAAAATTAATGTAATAAGTCAATTGTATTTGAAACTTTTTTTTTTAAATTTATTTATTTTTCACGCAAACAGTATATTAAAGACTATTATTTCATTTTAATGTTATTACAACGTATTTACAATGCGAATAATTTGATATAATTCTGAAGTTCTGAATAGACTTAACGAAAGAAAACGTAACTTTTATGTTTAATTTTATTCATAGTAAAAACATGAATAGACAACAGAAACTTATTCTTATAATATTAAAAAAAAATAATAATTGAATTCATCGCAAAAGTTATCATTCAACATTAATTTAGATGACAAAGCTTTAATTTTAATAAATAGTACTTTAGAATAATAAGCTACATTATTATTTATAGCAAACGTATCAAATTTGATATAAAATTATACATGTTTTCATTGTGAAATGTCAATTTTAGTTAAAATACCTTTAACGAAACTTATACAGTAATTTGTAAATTGTATATCATAATAACAAAATTTTTTCTTATTTTTTCAACAAAAATTTACAATTTACGAAAAATTTATGGTACTTGTGTTCACCAACATACTTTATCACTATGAATAAACTTTATTTACATATATTAACAATTTATTTATTTACGTCTAAAGGATCGTGATGGAGTAATATAAATTAAATCTATTTAACGTGAATTACTCAATAAATAATTAATAATTTTCTGTCTAAAATATTCTCCCTTTAATACAGTAACAAAGTCTTTCTATAACAAAATATTTACATTATATAAAATTATATTAAAGTGTATAAATTAATATTCTGTCTCAACATTATATAAAATAAATATCGAAATTTAAGAAGAATGTATAATATTATGCATTCATAAAATCTCTTCAAATTTTCAGTTTTTACATGAGTGTTACAAATACTAACGACGATGACACTATTTTGTAAGACTTACGAAACTCATCTGTGTAACTCTCATTTTATCAGAAATTATACTTTATGTGAAAATTACCTAAAAAATAATTACTCTTATATGAATTAATAATTTTTTTTTTTTTTTTTTTTTTTTTGATCGATAGATCTAATAAATATAAATTAAACATAGCTATTAGATAAAATATTATGATTATTATTAATTTAAATTTTATTCATATCATAAATTTAAAGTAGATAATTTTATTAAATCTATCTCCACTGAAATGATTAATTTTGAATGTTGGAGATGTATTTTAAAATAATTTTCTATATTGTATTACTAATTAAAAATGTTCACGCAATTTAATACAAAATTTTATTTTAAGCGATATTTTTAACAGCATTTATATAATGATTTGTTGGAATATTATCTTAAAAGTATCAAATCAATGATAAAATACAATGTAAGTAGGATAGTAGGTAAGCTATGGCATAAAAAAAATGTGAAGTCTGACTGACAATTATACGCAGCATAATTTTTCATGTAATTTTCACAAAAGATATTTTTCATGAATTCGATTGTAATGAAAAGAATTACAAAATTTAAAGAAAGATCATTACATATTTGTAAACAAAATTATCCATCACAATACAAATCCATACCACATAAAGGCCCCGAGCACATTATACATTCATACTTTAATTTCCAGTGTTCAATTCACGCTCGCGTGTAAACCCATACACATACGTACACATACCATAAACATACTCATGCACATATGTGCAGAAACATACCTACACACATATTTGTATACGATGAAGTGGACTTTGCATTATATATGGGGCGTGGGGATTTTTTATATACAGTGACATATCAGGACTGCCACTACAGTAATTTTAGAACGAGATTTTTATAAACCACTCATGATGGTCAAGTCAGTTACACTTCGTCACTTTATTTCACAGATTACTTCATTTTATTAATTTTCATATGGCGCAATAGTATTACTAACCTTCATTGGAATCTTTCCTGAAAAGAGAGTTTCAAATTTTTAATATCTATTAAAGTCTCGGTAAAGAATACATATTCGGGCGCTTATGCACAAGAATTCCTTCATTAACATTTCCCGATCTTTTTACTCATAATTGTTAATGTTATTCAGATTTGTATTTTGCTATCCCATGTTGGAAGCTTCGTTATAAACATTCGTACTAGCTAGCAGTTACGAATAACGTGGATGTGAAAAGTGTCACGTTTCCCGTCTTATTCATTTTTGCTTCAGGTTTGCTTTCATATTTTTATAGCTTTGAGAATAAAACAAGAAAACCCTCTATAGGTAACGATGAATAGTCTATGATATTCCATTCTCTTGATCAGGGATTTGGTTTCATATTTTAAATTCACATAGGCATTATTTTGTTTAATGCAATTAGCTTCATATAGTGTATATGAATTATACCGAGGATATGTACAAAATAATGAGAGACACTAAAAGACAGCTCGAGGATAAAATAGGTCCTGCCGTGCCCGTCTGCATCGCTTCTGGACGTTCACCTATAAAGATAAAGGCTTTTATGTGTTTTCATTCATATAAAAAAGTTGATGACATATGTAACGAAATACGAGGTCTTATATGCTCTTTCTAACGCTCTGTTTTTTATTATAATTACTTTTTATATTATTATAAGAAAGCTATATACAATTGGTGTCGATATGAATAAATTTGAGAATAAGTAATATTTTAATATTTCTAATTTATTGAAAATGTATCTGACAGGATTATTAAATGAACTAAAAATTAATATACATATTAATTAATCTTAATTTTCAAAATTGAAATACAATTTAAAAAGGATGTATTATTATTATTAACGTTTATAATATTTAGCATTAACAATTATTTTTATTAATAAGCAATATTTTTTCATAGAAAATATTGATTAATATTTATGATTTGATATTTAAATATTTTTAATTAAATGATATACACTATTTTTCATGAATTTATTAGACTTGAAATATTAAGATTTTAGTATAGTAAATTTTAATGGAACGAATAAAGTTTTATATTAAATAAACATTCTTATACTATATATAAATTAAGTATACTTGAATATTTGTATGTTATGTATTATTTATAAAATCAATTAAAGAATCATAAACGACTGTCTTCTTTAAAAGAGCTAATGTTTAATAAATAGAAAAATTTTGGGATATTGATGTTATAATTTCTTTTTAGATTTTATCGAAATCTCTAATTATATTAAATAACTATTAGTAACTATAATTCCTCTAGTAATATATGTGGATTTTTAACGAATTCATTAAACGGGCACTAATAGTCGTGAAATTGTTATAAATAACATGGTTGGTTACTATAATTTCTTTTGAATTACTATAATTTCAATATATAATATGTTTAATTATAAGTAATATCCAACATAAGTTGTCGCATAAATGTAACATATACCAAAAATACCTAGTTTGTAACATATTTTTTGTAATGATGAAATATTTGTTATTTTGTTTACAAAAAAATCTTTAAATAGACGGCATGTTAAAGTCGGCGGACATATGTAACGATGTTGTAACAGCATGTTTTATAGCAACTAAAAATCGATTTGAATTTACATATTAATATTTTGTATTTAAAGGTTTTTTCCTATTATTTAGTATTATATTTTAGAACTACATATTTATTAAAATTGTTATCATTTGTATTAAAATATTAATTATTGATTTGCATTGTATGGAATCCGATTTTACTATTCAATATTCTAATACAAATATGTTTTAATTTTTTATTCATGAAAACAAGTCATTTATCATTGAACATTTAATTAAAATAAAAAATAGAACAATAAAATAATTAAGGATAAGAAATTTAATTACAATACATTTAATAAGTATATTGGTTAGATTTTTTTGTTAATAATTTTAGTAAAATATTATTTTATATGGGAAAAATAATATACAATGATTGGAATAACAAAATTCATTTATATTATTATAAATAACTTTATACATGTGTTTCAATATAATCTATTACTTTCGATTTTCATTATAGATTGTATAATTGTATAATACATTCTTATTGTGTACAAAATAACATTATGTATAGCCTCTATTATGCTTGCAATTAATAATATTGAAAGATTATTTATTTAATTGCTCGAGTTTCTGTATTTACTATCATGAATTTCATAAAATTGAGATTAGCAATAATATTTACAAAAATAAAAACAATAATAAAATAATAAATTATATTACTAATAAATTATTTCTTATAGTGATTAAATATATTATTACCATGAACTTGCTTTTAGGTGAAATTGTTAGCATAAATTGTACCATAAAAGGTTCAATTCAGTTGAATGTGGAGAAACTCTAGTATTTTTATTACATAATTTAAGAATATATTATAAAATAATAAATTATTAAGCAAAGAAATAAATTCATATAACAGATTATAAATTATGAAGTTTATAAATTCTTATTTTAAATATAAATCATTTAATTTTTGAAGATTTACTGAATAAGATTAAAAATTAACATACAAGAGTTATAATGCGAAAAAGCTTTTTCTAAAATATTCTTGTTTCACGCTATTTACGGATATATATATGTATTACGCTAATATTTAAGGCAAACGTGAAGAAAGTTTACTTTTCCTGTAGTTTATTTAGGCAAATCTCGCGTCTCTGCGAATGAAGATCAAATTCACTCCTGCTTCTTTTCCTTTCAATGAGGGAATTATTCATATTATTATAAAATAGAACTACAGGCAATCTTAGTAGTAAGTAAATGTGAAAGAGAAATATCGAGAATTTTGTAAATATAAAAGACAATTAAAAGGTTTGAATTTATGTTATGAAAAGTTAGAATGTGAAATAAAAGAATGAAAATAAATAAAGGATATTGGAGAAAAAATTATAATAAAAATATGATAAATATTAATTGTTAATTTAACAGACTTATTATAATGAGAAAAATGTATAATTATAAGCATTTTTACAGATAATTTAATCATTTTATAGAACTGTTACTAATCCTACTATCAGTACTGTTGTAGTACAAATGTAACTTCTACCTTGATCAAATACATGAATAAATGGAAATAATTATTTGAGAATGAATGTGAATTTCATATTAATTAAATAAATTTCTTATTTAATTAAGAAAATAATATTACAGGTTCTTAATGCCTTTAATTTTGTAAGTTTGTATAATCAATTTTTCCCGACATTACAGCATAAACAAGCAGTTATCAGATTAGTAAAATCAATAAAATAAAAGAAGTAAAAATAAACAACAGTGAATGCTATAAATAATTATTAAATCCTTTGAAATGACGAAGCACGAAGGCATACATTATAATTTAGTAAAGCCTTTTTTAAAAATATTTGCGATAGATTTAGGAAAGGCTAAAAACACGGGATAAATTTTTAGGAAACTGCAATGATTCAGAGTTTTTGATATGGTCCAGGCCAGCTGTTGTGAACTAGCAGGAATTGGCTCAAAGCCAGTTCGATGGCTCGATTGCACTGTAGTCATAAAATGTGTTATTTAAATTCTTTGGAGCCCTCAAATTTGAATTTATTTTGGAATTATTATATTCGGAATATTAACATAAAAATATTTTGTATCGATAAATACGAAATGCTTTCATTCAAATTGAACATTTTATTATTCGGTATAGTTTTATTTTCTTAGGTTTCAGCAATATAATTACTTTATCTGAGTATATCTATACATATATATATATATATAGATAGATAGATAGATAGATAGATAGTAATGTAATTTTGAAAGATTTTTAACGCATGTAATAATCAAAGAATTTAGTTTCTGTTACATGTAAGTTATGATTAAAATCATATCGATTCGTTTCAATAGTTATTATTATTTTTTTCTGTAAATAATAACACTTGTTAATCAGTGTATTTATAAAGTAGATCATTTTAAATCAAATATTATATATATTTTATAACTTATATATTCAAATTATCTTCCGTATTTAAATTACAAATGTTCTTTTATGAATATTTTTTCATATCGACGTTTTATTTATGTTAGTTTTTTGGAAACGAAATTTCTAATAAAACATTTTATATTTTATGTCAACATAGCAATGGAAGTCATTTAATACTAAACATTACTTAAAAATGGAAGTATTGATTAATCTATTATTTGTATAAATACAATATTCATTTAATATATTTGTCGATTGCTTTCTGAATAACCAAATATTTTATTCAATAAACTGCATAATTTAATATCTGAAATACTATATTATTTAGAATTAGTAATAAATAATGAGTGACAATATCTCTATAGTAATTCATAAATTCATATAATAATTTATAATATAAATATAAATATGTCGATAATTTAATTTCGTAAATACTATATTATTTACAATTAGCAATACATAATGAGTCACAATGTTTCTATAATAATTAATTAATTCATACTCATAATCATTTTTAACTTGAATATAAGTATGTCAATAGTAAATAAGCCATTTTCGTTAATTTATTTGTCTTTGTTTATTTAATAAATATTTTTATGTCTATATTGTCCTATAAATTTTCATTAAACATGGAAATTTAAACATTCAAGCGTTTCTTTTTTTTCATTAGTTGTTTAATATTAGTACAATTTTCGTGGAATTATTACCTCATTCATAATATATGATATTATTCTCTAAATATCTTGATAATGAAATATGTAGATTCGGAATATTACAAAAAGTTTTGAAGGAATATTGAGAGATCTTACGTTGTGCTTACGACAAAAACTAAAAGAACCTAACAGAAAAGCAATGTGGTTGGTAGAAAATGTGGGTCAACTGTTAATGTTTATCCACAGATAATCCATGCTGCTAAAAGTATCGAACCAAAGAAGAATTTTTTCATCCCGCATCTGTTCTGATTACGCTGCCTATAAAGAACGTTTTCATTTTTGTAAGATTTTTTCAAATATAAAAGCACCTGTGGCAAAAAGGGCTAATATCAAGAGGGGCTCAAACTTTTGTATTGCGATAAATCAGAAATATTATTAATGTTAATTGGTCATGCGTATTACTAATTTATAAGTTATGAGTGATTAATTATTTTATTTTAAATGAATATAAATACAAAAGGTTTTTTTTTTATAGAAAGTTGTATTTTTCTCTAATGTAGATGAAAGTAAGGAAGACATTAATGCTTGTATTAAATGTTCAAACATATGGAAAGAGATGATAATTTTAGTCTTATCATTATCAATATTTTAAGATTATAGTCGCTTAGAAGATGATTGTGCATATAGACTAGTAGAAAAAGTAATTATTTGAATCAAATTCATTATCGATATTGTAAGATTATAATCGCTTAAAAGATGGTCTATCATGTTGACTATTTATGTACATATTGTTAAGTTAGGATCTGGGTTATTGCGTCATAGCATGAAAAGTACAGTGGTCAAGCACAACTTCTTTCATTCATCCAATATTATCAGTATTTAAGCCTCACTTGATGGCTATTATAGATGTCGTATCTATTTATGTCTTTGCTTAAGAAAGATGATTTATTTATAAAAAGGAATTTTTTCTTTAAGAAGATAAGGTTTATAAGACCTTCGAGGCTTAAGTTGTATAGATCTGACAAATTTATTAGAGGCCAAATATACGGAAATAATGGAGGTCTGGAATCATTAATCTACTGAAATTTCATTCACATTTCCACTACAGTAATTTAGAGAATCATATCACACACACACACACACACACACACACACACACACACATATATATATATATATATATATATATACATACACAATTTTTAATAAATAATGCAATAATTAATTTGCAATAAAAAAAATCCATGTATTTTAGGGGATAAAGCGAAATCAATATATGCTATTAGAGGTGTACTTTCTAGATGAAATATTAGATATTTTCAATACAAGAAAAACATGAATATGTGTTTTGAGCAATTTAAATAAGGGTAATTAAAAAACATTGTTGTTCAAATGTGGAGACCTATTCGTCAAAGAAAATTGGGGCAATAATGTAAAAGTCATATCAAATATAATCGAGATATTTGTAGAGCTTTTTAGAGAATACGAAGCTTTAATTTCATAAGCACCATTGTTAACTATTATACTTTAATAAGTACATATACAGCTCAATGTAATAGTATATAATATTTCTTTTACAATGTCGATTTGATAATTCTATTTTTAACTTTTGAATTATGTTTTTTATATATTATATTTATCACTATGGATATTGGCAACTGTGAATAAGTAAAGTTTATTGATAGATTTCTGTTTGCTATATAGTGTTGTATAATGATTAATTTTTATTAAAAATTAATTAAAATAATAAAATAATAAAATAATTCAAAATTAAATATTAAAATGAAGAATTGCAATACTCTAATTTCTGTTAATCCTTAACACGAATACAATAACATTTTATTTTAAATTAAAAAGTTATAAACATATATTAGATAACCTATTATAAAATATATCTTGAAAATTGAAATAAATTTTTAAAAATTGAACTGATAGCTCGAATAAAAAACATTTGTCATAATATTAAAAAAAAAAAAAATATATATATATATATAGTTTATATATAATATTAGTCACAAGTCAAAAACATAGATGAATTTATGTATTTATGATTCAATATAAGCTATAATTTATATTTCAATTTCTACATGTTAAAACACATTAAATATATAAAGCATAATACCAAGGAAAAATGCCAGCAAACATAGTAAAAACTAGAAACTTGAATCTTCTTTATTGGTAGCTAAAATGAAGGAAAAGAAAGAAAATAAAGAGAGAAACCGAGGCTGTGTGTATAAGCTACAGAGATTCCTTATCGTGCAATCGTTTTGAAAACAAATCAAAATATAATTTCCGGCATTCGGCTACAGATTGTTTTTATTGTATATACATCGACAATTGGTAGCATTCATTTTAACAAAGCATTGTAAATCTAATACCAAAATTCCGATTCATGAGAGATTCATGAAAGTGTTTTTCATATCTGTCCACGTATCAGTTTTACATCACTGCTTCTAAAAATTAAAATTAAATCATCGATAGTTTTCAAAATTTACCAAATAAATTTACACATATTTTTAAAATAATTATTTGAAAAATTCACTAGATTAATACCAATATAATATTCATATTTAATTCAATAAAATGAAAATGCGATAAAAAATTTCTTATTTATTCTCAATAGTATAGAATTAAAATTTAATCTATTAAATCATATTTTTGCAAATGATTAATAAATAATTTTAGAATTCTAATAAATAAAATATATATATATATATATATATATATTTTTTTTTTATTTATTAGAATTCTAAAATTATTATATAATTTATACCATAAAAATAGAATACATTTTTAGAATAATAACAAATAGTATAAAAATATTAAACATATATATATATATATATATATATATATATCATTTCAGATTTTTTTGGATTTTAAAATAAATTTTGAAAATACTATAATAGCATTTTTGAGATTTTGTAAGTTTGTATTCTTTTTCTTGAAAAATAAGGAAAATCAAGTTATATACTTTTTTGTTCGGAAGCATGAAAGTAATATCAAGTTTCTTGTTCTATAATATAAATGACTGGTTTAAGAGCTCTACGAAATACATTCAAGCTTAGGTTAAAGTATATAGTATCCGAATGGATTATGAGTTGTAGAAAATAACGTAATATTGTTAATTACAATAACAAATATTTCTTATTAGATCACATTATACAAGATAGGTTTCGGTCTCCTTATGAATTGTAATGGTTTGCAATCATTAAACAAAAAATTTATTTTAAATTGTATTCTGTTAAAATGAAATAAATGTTAACAGCTGATGCTTAATATCTTATTATATTATATAATCTACGTAGTTTATCTATGCATTTTGTTAAATGCATTTTTTTCTGCTATTACATATTGTTTTAGATAATAATAGAGAATAACTGAACATCTCGGATTAGTTGATTCATATAGGAAATGTCATAATAATAGCAATATTTGACCTTATGTAATTATAAATAAATATAAAATATTACAATTTGCTTTTGTAATTGAAATAGAATGTCATTTATTAGCTATACATTTTCCCAAGTCATTTCATCTAATATAATTAGAACGTGAACCTAAAGAGTAACATTATAAATTTTACAAGATATAACCTCTAAATTCTCATTATTTTCCGCCCTTGTACAAATACATTATTTCCCTAATTTAAATGATTACACATTAATAATAGTATGATCGAATCAATTATATATGCATAATTTGGGAAAAAGCCGTTATGTTGGACTTTTTAAGGAAGCCTATCAATCATGCACAATGTTTAAAAATTCCCGCGCTTATGAGTGTGCTCAATGATGTAACGAATATACCGTATTAGTGTATGAGCTAAGGAGAAGTAAATTACCGAAAGTATATTGAAAAGTTAGATCAACGGCCTGGATCAGAATGCATCTCTGCCTAGCTTAACCGGAGATTACGCGAGGACGCAACCCACGGGAGCGAAAACAAAGGATAAAATTTATGGCGTCGGAACTCACCGTTGAGAACATGGACCCTGATGGACGACATATTCGCGTTGCTCGGCTTGCATTTGTACTCCCCGGAGTCCGAGGGTTGGGCCGCCTGTATGAGGAGCCAGGAGGTCGTCACGTCGCTGCCCTTCTCGGTTATCACGGACACGCCACCCCTGGGACTATCGTAGCTCATCACAGCATCGTTGTAATACCAGAAGATAAAAGCCGGCGGTTCCCAACTGAAGTGGATCGCACACGTCAGGTTTATCGTGCTGCCAGCTCCGACATACAACTCCGGTCCACCTAATATCGTTGCTGTCGGTACTGGAACAAATATAAATATACTAATTAATGCAAGGATTTATTTTTAATCATTACCCGCTTTATCATAGCAAGCAAACTATTTTCCATTTTCCGTTAATTCCGTTAATTAAGCATTTCATGAGCTGTTACTTGTTAATTGGAAGAAAAAGTTTATTAATAATCGCCTCTGCGAATCAATAATGTTACAATTAGAATTTGAAATTGTTAAGAGACGGTTTTTGATAAAATTAAAATTCTTATATTCAGCTGTAAAGTATTTTCATTTTACATTATGTTAAAGATAATATTTATTTTATAATAACGACTATTATTACGTTTACTATACTTTATATCATTATACGTATTATTATAAACTTGCAAAATATAATAATACTAGTAACTATTGTATCGGTATTGACAACAAATTTAAAATAAATTCTAATTAATATACTGCATACTATAACAATAATTAAAAATGCGTTAAAATACAGTTAAACTAAAAATTCATTAGAAAAAATTGTTTACAAACTTTTTAATATTTCATGCAACACATGAATCGTTTCTATTCAGTTAGGCCGGATTGTAATAAATGATGTTTCAATTTCAACTATAAAAATACTAATATTCTACATTCTATATACTATTTTTAATAATAATTAAATAAGTTTTACAACTAAATTAAAAAGAACCTTATATAATAAGGTTATATATTATATATTATTATATATTTATAATAATAATAGCATTAATTTTTAAAATCTTGATTTGTTTTAGAAAATTTAATTCCATTATATTTTCTATCACAATTTTCACTATAAATAATACATTTTTATTTTTATCAAATAATATTTACATATTTCTTTCACTAGTTTTCACGTTCATTTATAAATTAACATTTATTACTCGTTGTAAAATTTAATTGAAAATATCATATAGATCTTGATTATGGTAAAGTTTGTTATTAGTTCATAATGCTATATCGTACTATATATACTAAGAAGAGATTATGTAAGATTTTATTATCAAGATAAAAATATTTTCTGTATAATCTAGTATATAAGCTCTTCATTAATGATATACGTATTAATTAACCTAGTAGTCATTTGACAGTCATTAAAATATTTCAATCTAATTATTTCTAATTTATAATGCTTCCTCGAAATTAAATATTCAAACAAAACGAAATATTCATTTATTAATTCTGAATTTAAATATATATATTGTTATGTATGTAAGTGTAGGAACTTTATACTAAAATTATATAAGGAATGTTTATAGAAATGTAAATATTGAACTAATAAATTTTCGTTATAAATTTAGTTCGAATTCACTAATATAATTAAAATATTTTGATGGATTTTGTATTAATTAATATAGAATAGAATATATATTATTTTATTAGTATTTTATTTTAATATTGAAATTAAAACGAAAATTACTTTGATGATGAATTCTCAATTCTATAAAGTTTATATTTTATAAGGAATAGTTCAAAATCCAAATTACTAAATTGTATTACTGCTTGCAAAATTAAATTAGATTTTCATGAAATATTCATATTCAAGCTTAAAGGACTACTATGCTGCACATAAAATTATTTAATAAATGTAATAATACATATTTATTATTTATAACATTTTTATATATTATTTATATATATATATATATATATATATATATATATATATATATATATTTTTATAATGTATGGACTTATTATTAATTATGCAATTAAATGTAGTAAATAATGAATATTACGAAAGTAAAGGGCAATTTAATAATACTTCTGGAATATTATAGTGAAATTGATTTGTGTACTACTTAATTTAAAGAAACTTGGCATTATTTTTACTTTTAACACTGTTTCAATTATTAAACAAATTATTAACAAAATATGGGTATTGTTATCTGTACTATTATACATAGTACATGTGTATGTATAAATCAATGTATCATGGAAATATAAAAAAATTTCAATTATATTTTGTATTAATTTTGTATAATACGAATGATATAGAATAATTTTGAACTTATTTTTAATCAAAATACAGTTTATCTCACCAACAACGTTTAGATGATATTGATGAGCTCTGAGTGGAATAGTCGAAATCTGACATTCGTAAATACCCTCATCTCTTTCTTGGGCCCACTTGATACAAAGAGTCCACTCGGACCACTCATTATTTGATCCTGTATTAGGTTTGTGTAAAGCTTGAAATCGCTGGTCACTTGTGTAAGTGTAAGCTCCTGCGGTTAGGATATGAATGTCTCGATGTCTAACCCAAGATACCTGCATATAAAAGACAATAATAGGAAAGAAATTTTAATTTAATTCTATTTATACTATATCATATTATTATTATTATTATTTACAGTAAGTATATATTAACAATAAATGAAACGTTGGATAGATAAAATTAATAATCTTAAAAGAAGCAATTAAAATTTGCAATATTGAAAAGAGCTATTTTAATTCTGGAGAATTGATTACAAAATTTATTAAAAGCATATTGAATATATATTCAGATTGTTTTTAAGTAATTTTTTTCTTTTTAAATTATATTACTTTAATTAAAAGAACTATAATTCTTAATTATTATATTTTAATTTTTATTTTATTTTTTTTTTTTTTTTTTTATGTAATTTTGACAATAATTACTTAATGCAAGAAATGTAGTGAACAAAAATAAAATCATTACAGTAATAAATTAATACAGTAATACATGAACATTGCTTTATGTTAGTATAAACATACTCTGTATTTAAAAGCATGTAAATTCAAATATACAATAAATCTAATTAATTATAAATAAAGTCAATTATATTAAATATAATTAATAGTATTTATACATATTAATTATAATATGAATGTTAAAATATTAGAATCTACTAAATATTTTTTTTCCATCGAATTTAATAATAATATCACATATTTTTCGATAAGATAGTAGTTACAAATATTTACTTTTTTCTCTAATTAATATAGAATAAATTTTAATATCCGATAAGAGAGGTATATTGTACGATTTTATTTTATTTATAATTACGAATATTATAAATATTCTGTACGACTACTTACTTACTTATGCAAATATATAATGAGACTTAAATTCAAGTTTAAACCCTTTTACTTAACATTAATATTTGTAATTCGACATATAAGAATATCACACACAAATTATGTTAATAATATAGATGGAGATTTTTATATTTTCATTATTACTAAAATAATTTAAAAATCACTATTATTTCGACTTTTTATTGAATTTTAATAAAAATAATTTAAACCCTTATATAATTTAGTTATATATAGCTTTGTTCTTCCACATTATAATGCAGACATATATATATATACATGTTTATGGACTGACCAAGTTGGGATCATTGAAGAGTGAACGAGAAAACTTTTGTGTAATCGGTAATTTGGAAATATATGAATAAAATTCTTAATATCATGATATCATAATATTTAAATAAATCAATGATTGATTAATTTCCTTAAAAAGTATATCATTTTTAAGAATATAATATTAACAATATTAACTGTATATAATTTAATAATTTTCATTTCAAAATGTAGATCTAATTTGACAAATGGAAAGTTATAATAAATTGTTACATTAATTTTTGTTTGCCATATAATTAAATTTATGAAAACAATGTACACATTTTTTTTTTTGGACAAGTAATAAAAGGAGTTAATTATAATAAAATCTAAATAATTAAAAAAGAAGTATTATTGCAGTTAGAATTTTGTGTATACTATAATTTTTCTAAAGTTATAGAACTTATTGCATTAAATTTATTAGTAAATAGACTAAATATGAAATTATATATTAAACAAGGACTAATATCAATTAAATACTAAATATTAGTCTTCGAATATGAGAAATTGTAAAACAATTCTACACAAGTTTGTGTATTGTATACCATTAAGAAAAGTAGTAGTAAATACATTTATAGAAAAATAGTTCAGAATATTTAAATAGTATTATATTATTGAATTAAAATTTTTTAAATATATATAGATTTTGTAAACTTGAAGTGAATTATTGTTGACAAAGCATATACTAAATAAGTAAATCTTTAATAATAGTGTCAAAATTTAAAATATATCCAAATTTACACAGACAATAATAAGTATTATAATATACAAATAATTTTAACGAATATAAACGCTTAAAATATCATTGTCGATCATCGTTAAGAGTACAACCAAATGTTTAATATTATGTCGTTGTATCAACTAATAACATACAAACTTTTTATATTTCCGCAATTTATAATTTAAAACTTATTCAAAATTGTATCACCAATTTTTGCATATATTTATATATATAAAACATGAGTTCCGAATTTTTAAATTCTTGAGAATGTTTTTAATCTTTTCAATAATATAATTTTTTTCGTATAGACAAAATTATTTCATACTTAGTATAATTTTGAATATATTTTGTATGACTCAAGCATCCATAAAAATATTTTTCTATTAATTGATTTCCTTAGTTTCTTATGTACATTCATTTAAGCAGAACATTTTCTTTTATACTTTTACATTTGGATAATTAAGGTTATTTTTAACTGCTTCTATTTACAATAAGAATAATATCGATTATTCATATGGATTTTTATTGTTAAAACATTATATATTTTTTATGTATAAGATTTTATTGTAACGATGGACTTACGATATAAATTTGCTTTTTTATAAATTTTTTTTATAAACTTTTTTTTATAAACTTTTTATATAAATGAGACTGAAAATTTCAATATCGATTGATTTAGCTAGATTTATTTTAAAAAATTTTAACATCTTAGATTAGATAGATAGATTTCTATGAGAATTCAGTTAATGGAAATGCGAAGAAATTAAAATAATTATTTTTCAAGTATACTGTAAAATAGTTTTTAACAGCTTTTAGAAAATCTTGAAAATATTCTGAACATTTTTTTTTTAAATCTGTTATTCTATAACAATTATTTTATTATATGGCAGCTATTTTATTCAATTTTAATATATTGTCTAACGTTTGTTTAATTATCTAATATGTATTTATATAACATGCAACGTGTTATTATTTGAAATTTATATTACTTTGCGAATAAAATGAATCTTTTCAATTTTATGGATTGGTTTATTATATATTAAAAAAAAAAATTATTAAGTATTCACCAAAATGAATATAGATTTTAAATAAAAATTATATCTTTGTGTACCTATGATGGATTTATTGTTGTTGTATTAAATACATTAAAACTTATCGAAAATAGAATTTTCAGAGATTGTAATGAAGCGATTGATGTAAAAGATTTATATTTTAAAATATATATTATTAAAATTGAACAATTAAAAGTTATAAATTAAAATGAAAAAAAAAAACTATTTTTTATGTTAACGAATGAAATAATTTCTTTTCACCTTAATATTTTATTTACAATTTTATATATAACATTTCAGAATAAAAATTGCGTTTATTACTACTGTATATTAAAAAAATTAAGTATGTCTTTGTATCTTACATATGAAATAGTAGAGTTTCATATTATTCCTGCCAAGATAATAGTAATCTGTGGTATAATCGTAAGTTTATGGAACAAAGTTAACGAGAAATTTAAGTAACATTCAAATTTATAGATAACACAAGTAAAGTAGAGTATAAAATAATTTTGACATATATTTAAGAAGAAAAAATAAGGATTGGTACATTATGAGAAATAGGGAGGACGTGTAGATAGATAGATGAAGTGAAAGAGAAAGAGAAATGCAGAGTCAGTCTCATTTTTGACTTGTGATATGTAAATTTACGAAATGAAATTTAGAATTTATAAGTATTTAGAAAATCACCATCAAAGGGAATCACTAAAAAATTTAGCGAAATATTTCTAAATGTCTGTTAAATACAATAAAAAAGTTGAAACTTTTATAGTTTATTATATATATATATATATATATATATATATATATATATATATATATTTATATCATTACTGCATTATTTTAAAATTATTATTGATGATAAATAAATTATTTGGAATTTTTATATTTGTCGAGTGTCTGATTTTCATTTATATCACTAATTAATAATTCATAATTTTCAACTTTATTCACTGAATATTGACTGTCAAACAATTGATTTTGATGCAATTTATATTTTATTTCTTGTTGTTTGTCACAAATATTAAACTTCGTACTATGACAACCCCTTTATTTCTCTACTTTTTTCATTATTGATTTTTTATATAAATGTGTGTACACTCTTCTTTCAGTGTCTTAAATTCTTATTGAAATTACAAGAATAATATTGAATAATGAAACACGATAATAAAAAGCTTTGAAGTATTAAGTAAACATTTCTCTTACACATTATATAATACTTATAACGTATTATTCATTCTGACTTAAACACTGTCATTAAGAATTGGATTTAATCACATCATAATTCGATTTTATAGGTAATAAAAACTAATTTGATAATCTTGTACTGATTTTTGCAATAATTAAAATTCTTTTCGTAATACATGATTACTGTTTAATTAAATCTATTAAAATTATAAAATTACGACAGTTCATATTCTTATAGATATATTTTTTTAGAAATCATATAATATAAAGAAATAGAATTAACGTACTAGCAAATATTACCATAATAATATATCTACTTTAAGTTGTAAGATAATCTTGTAACTCAATGTATAAATCTAGGATATAAATGAAGGACAATTACTACGACTAATAATGCCATACACTATTTAGTTTTTAATGTAAAATTTTGATATGTTTATATTTATTTTTTTTTTTTAATAGAATGCTTCTGTATCGTAGTAATGTGATATAGATGAAGGAGACTGCATGCATTAATCCGTTGTATAGTGGCGTCCTTACATCGTGTTTGTGGTTAGGTTTATCACAATATAGAGACCGTGTAAATAAATCCTATTTTTCTTATGTTTAACAGAAGGATAACGAAATCTACTTTTGGTGCATATGTGTAGTACGCGCGTGTGCATGCGCAGATGTACTTATGGTCCGAGTGAATGTAGATAGGTTTATGAACTTCGAGTTATATGAGAAATTTATTCCTATAAATAAATTCATTACTCGATTATTGCACGTGAAAATAAAATACAGTTTAAAAACATGCATGGTATGGACAATAATTTAAAAATAAATTAATAAATACTAGCTCGAAATGATATTCCCAGCTATTTTACATCTACCATTCATCATAAATAGTGTTATTTATTTCTAGTTTTATTTATCCTTGCCTCACTTATTTAACAATATCGTTC